TCCAATTGTTTGTTAAAATAAATGTTTCATATTATTTTGATTTTATTATTTTTCCTATTTTACCATCTATTATATCATTTACTTTTTCTAAATACCCCGCATTCCGTGAGTGTAAACTTTAGTAACGAAATATTCCGTTAACTATTTAAAATTCTTAACTTACTCATTGATTTTCGTAAGGGAGGTTTTAGATTCGAACCCCGTCCCAGTCAAGAGTTGGCATAATTATGTTAGAGTGTATAAAAATACATTATAAAATTTAACATCTTTGGTCAATTAATTAGCCAAACTATACATAGCATTCAAAGTTGAGCATCAAATATTACAAATAAGCAACCTTGAAAATCATTTTCTTGCATTTTTTTTTTAGTATTACTTGCTCTATTACAATTTACAATGCAGTATCTGTCTATTTTATCAACCTATTAAAGTATAAAGAGTCAATATCGCTCACTAAAACTCGAACTCATGATATCCCAAACAGATCATGTTTTTTGAATTGGAGAAAGATTACTTTAAAAATAATTTTCAATAAATGTGTGCAAGTCCGATCCGTTCGATTGTGGTTTGTGAAGGGTCTACAAACTTCTTGAAAATACAAGTGGATAACGATGATATGATAATTGGTCACATTTGGTCCATTTGGATAGGGAAATACAAATTCCAATGTTATGACACAATTCATGTGAAGTTTTTTAAACAAAGAAAATGCTTTTTTTTTTTTTTTTCTTTTTAATACTTTTAAATTCACATTCTAATAATTACTAGTTTCAAAAACATTCTAATAATTACTTAATAAAATTATTATCCCAAAAAAATGGTCGAATAGATGAAGCATGGCCAACACCTTTTTGGCTGAGTGAGTCTGTTACACATAGCCACATAGGTCATGTTGGATAAAATAGTTAGCTTATAAGCTAATTTTAACTTATTTGACCATTATTAATTGTTTGACTTGATTAGTTTTTGTAACAACTTATTGCTTCAAAATACTAAAATTTAAAAAGATGCTCAAAGTAATTTTCTTGATCAGTTTTTTGATAAAATCATTTTGTATATAATTTTCTATCAACTAACAGCTAATATACCAAATACTTTTCTACAATCAATATAATCAATGTTATCAACTAGTCAAACCTATTAACTCAATCAGTTAACAACCATTTACCAAACACCTCATAGTCTTCTTAATGCAACAAAGTCTTATGTGTAAAATATTACACAAAAACAAGATTTATATTATGTATATACCCACAAATAATAATTACAACTTACATGTTTCTTTTGTCACTAAAAAAAAACAATAAAATTTTCTTATGTTTATTAGGAAATATTATTTGAGACACAATAATAATTTTTTAAACATAACTTTAATTCATTAAAGTATTTGCATATCAAACAATTCAAAAATGTTTGTGTCCACAAATTATATTAAAACTAACTATATCTAAATAATCTAATATCCCCCCTCAAAGAAGAGAATCCGATGTGGTTTGAAATTGGAAGAGTGTCCGGTAAAGATGGGGAAAGTGGGGCCCTCCAAATGGCATTTGCATTGAAAGATGTAAGGTTTAAGAGTCAAAGCTACCTGGCTCTGCCTGCCTGTCTTCTTACATGCACCTATTTATTTTCTTTGGATTTTACTCACTTTCACACCTTTATTTTTTTTATTTTTTTATTTTTTATTTTTAAGTTTTCAACAGAAAAAAAAAAAAAACAAGCATTTAAAAAAAACATTAAAAACAACTGTATCATATATGTTTAACCCTCTATTTGAAATGGTAATAGAGATTATTAAACTATACCGTAGTTGGCACATATATGCTTCTTTATTCTCCTTAAAAAAAACAATTAAAAGAATTTTTTTTTATTACAATTGTTAACGACAGTGAGATCATAATGTGTAAAAAAATTATTTATTTTTCTTTTATTATGTCAATCTATTTAATTAGCAACCAAAAGAATTCAATTGTATTTCTAGAAAATGAAAAATAAAAAAATGAAAGTATTTGTTTAAATTGGCTTTAAATTTAAAAAGAGAAAATGGAAATCAGCATTTTCTAACTTAATAAACAAATTTGAGAAAACACTATTTTCTAAAATTTCAAATACACACAATACTCACAATATTTTATTTTATTTTACCTTCCCTAAGCCCCTAATTGTCATTTATTAGTAAATTGAGCTCTTTCCTTTTAAAATTTTAAACATATTTTTTATTAATTTAATAGAACTATTAATGCAATTTCTAAGTATACACATTTTAATTTTTAATAGTAAATTAAATATTACCAAAAAAAAAAAATTCTCAAACATGTGACATTCTTTTTTGAATGCTAACATTGATGCTATCAAACAATAAGGTACTCAAAAAATATTATAAAAATTATTTTCTCAATTTAAAAAATACACAAATTTGAGAGATTATATTTAATACATTGGTACCTTTTTACCCATAATAAATATACTTTCAAGAATACGAAACATTGTTGCATTGGCCTATAGGTATTAAATGTGTATATAAACAATATTAATATTTTAAAAATCGGATGTAAATGGTATTTAATAAAATAACCCAATACGATAAATGGTATGTAATAAAATAATAAATATTATTGTATTGATGAAAATTTAAAATTTTTAACAACCCAATACGATAATGATTTTTTTTTTTTTAAATATAGACATGTGAAACATGAGTAACTTAATCAAGTTTGATTAATTGAATATTGAATATTGAATTGAATATTGAATATAATACATAAAAATAAAAAACATGAGAGTACATAACATATGACTTTTACACCATGCACATATGTTATAAAATCTACTCCACCAATTTCTCATAGCCTTCGCCTACGGCCTATACAACCATTTTTCATTCACCGACTACTACTCCTATCATAACCTCTATTATCATCATCTCTTATTTTACCGTTCATTAGTTGTCTATACATCTTTTAGAGAAATCTTAATTGTAATTTTTATTGGAACTTTTTCAGAGAAAAAACTAATTGCATGATTTTATAACATATGAAAATACTAGTTTTTGAAGGTTTTTTTTTTCCCTACAAATACAAGATTTTTGTAGGGGAGAAGAAGAAGAAGAAAAAAAGAAGAAAACGCATGTTCGAAGCGCACTGCAAGCCCCAGCGGGCACGTGGGAAACAATTGTTAAATTTAATTTTGTTATTAAATTTTAGCGTGTTTCCTTTTTTTTTTTTTTTTTTTTTTTTTTTTTTTTTTTTTTTTTTTTTTTTTTTGCTGTTGCAACAGCCAAATTCCTTTAAAAACAAAATTGTTAATGTTATTTTTTTTTTACAATTTTATACTTAAAATTTATTTTAATTTTGATATGTTGAATTTAAATATAATAAAACATAATAATTGTAATTTTAATCCTATATATAATAAAGCCATATGGTCTTGTGAAAATTAAATGGTGATCACCAACATTTAATTTTCACAAGACCATAATAATATTGTTAATTATAATAACAATAATAATAATAATAATAATTGCAATAATAATAATGATAATAATTTTCACTGACAGTTTCTAATATATATATATATATATATATATATATATATATATATATATATATATATATATTTGTTTGTTTATTTATTTATTTATTTATTATATTTATTTATATTTCAATTTCTACTGGCAAATTATTGTGTGAACGATGGTCCACATAATTGTAGGGATCATGAATATGAAATATATTTTTAATATATTAAAAATACATTATTTTTATATTGAAAGTACCTTACATACATATATAATGTACCCTTAGTAATTTAAAATATACTTTTTATTTCATGCAACCCCAAAGTTCATAAGTTTGAAATTAATATATGGCATAGCTAGGCGGCCTAATATTTAAGATTGTTGATGTGCATATTGAGGACTACGGAGACAAAGATGCGTTATTCGTGGATTCATCGGATACTATCCAACAACACTCTCCAACTTAATTGACATGAAGTAGGCTTAGTAACATTAAGATTATATTCTCGAATTATTAGTTCTCATCTTTTATTGATTACACACTTAAATTTGATAGTATTTGGAAGAAAAAATCAATGTTCGAACTAAGATTGTGATTTTGGTCTTTAAAGGTCAATTGTACGTTGCTACATCTAGAGTTAGAAATCTCAAAGGTCTAAAAATTTTGATCCGTGGTGACTCTAAAATTGTAATTCAATTACTATTGTAGTTTACTAAGCTCTTAAAAATTTGTAATATTAAATACTATGTACTAAATTTTTAATATAGTTTAAAATTTGTAGTAATCACCCACCTTAAATATTATTTTAATTGTAAATATATTTATGTTCATAATTTTATCATAAGAATTCGCACATAATAATTATTAAATAACAAAAATTTTATATGTGAATAAACCTCATATAGGGTATATTTTTATAACATATTTTCCGTGCATCGCACGGGACAAATACTAGTTTTTATAATGACAATAAAAAATAATTAAAATATAATGGAGTAAATTGGTGGGTTCACAAAAAAACTGAGAAAAAACTTAAAACTAATGGAAAGAAGGATTTTTGAGATTGAGTGAAGTAAATAGTGAATGATAAGGTGGATGCTTGAACATACAAAATCTTAGAAAAAAATCAAACTATTGAGGTTGCTTTTATACTCCATTAATCACACACACACATAACATATTTGATCATGTTTGTTGAGTCAATTACCGTAATTTTTCTCCTTCAAAACTTTAACATGCTTTGTCGAACTGAAATGTAGAAGTCTCTTTGAGTTGGGAATTCAACGTTGTTATTATAGACTTATAGGAGAAGAAAAAGAAATTGAAATTATTGAAAACTAAAAACACAAAATGATATAGATATTGCCGATCCTTTAATTTAACGGCTCATTAGTAGCTTTTGACTTTCTGCCACCCTCTACCCTACACCAGTTTACCAGTTGTACTGCCCCCACTTTTTAAAAGCATGGTCAATGCCCTCCCTCTTTCCTCCTTTATCTTCTTCTTCATCTTCCACAACCTTTCCTTTCCTTTCATCGCTTCTATCACCTTTTGACGCCAATAAAGTCTCCCCATTTCTACTCTAACATAAACACCCTGTCACCGCTTTAACTCTCTGTAATCGCTTCTTGAATTCTGGGAAGGTTTAATTTGAGGTTTGTATGGTGGGAAAGGGATGGCTGTGGAGTTGATGACGGGTTACGGGAATGATGGATTTGCAGTGAAGATGGAGGAGAGCGCCGTGGAGGAGGCGGCCACCGCCGGGCTAAAGAGCGTTCAGAATCTTATTAGGTTGCTTTCTCATTCGCCGGAGTGTGTGGGCCCTGAGACGCCTGCGGCGGAGTACCAGACGGCGGCTAACGCCGCCGTTACGAAGTTCAAGAAGTTTATTTCGTTGCTGGACCGGACCCGGACCGGGCATGCCCGGTTCCGGAGAGGCCCGGTTGGGAAGAAAGTAGATCAGGAACCGGAACCAGAACCGCCGGCGCCGGAGGAAGCATCGGAAAAGCCGAAAATATACTGCCCAACTCCAATCCAACGGTTGCCGCCGCTTCCCCACCCCCACCACCACCTCGTGAAGAACGGATCGGCGGCGAATGAACGGAAAGAATCGTCGACCACCATCAGTTTCTCCGCCGTCGCCGCCGCCGCGGCTGCCTCTCCGGCTGGCTCTTTCATCTCATCGCTCACGGGGGATACAGAGAGCCTTCAGCCTTCTCTTTCGTCGGGCTTCCAGATTACAAACCTCTCGCAAGTCTCCTCCGCCGGCCGGCCGCCGCTCTCCACGTCGTCGCTTAAACGGAAGTGCAATTCCATGGATGACGTCACCCTAAAATGCGGTAGCGCCGGTGGGTCCGCCTCTAGTCGTTGCCACTGTCCCAAGAAACGGTAAAGTCAACACCAAGAAACCATTATCATCAATCTTACCCTTATCCAACTAAAATAATATTATTTACATCAATTTTTTTACACTATAGTATATATATTATTATTATTACTATTTGTTGAACAATATAATAAATTTATCTAATTTATATTGATTTAATGTAATTTTAGGAAATCAAAGTTGAAACGAGTTGTAAGAGTCCCTGCAATTAGCTTAAAGATGGCTGATATCCCACCAGATGAATACTCATGGAGAAAATATGGTCAAAAGCCCATCAAGGGTTCCCCTCATCCAAGGTGAATTTTGTTATATACTTTTTTTGTTCTTTAGTACTATTGGCTACTGACTAGTATCTGTTCATAATTACTTTCTAAACTTACCAACACACAAAGAGTTAATACCGTTCTTATTGTGATTCGGCTCAAATCTATGACCTCTCATTTGGAAGAGTCATTTGTGCGACCTATATTGAAAAAATTGCTAGGCGCCCTCTAGGCGCTTGGAGGACCGCCTAGGTGGGTGTCGATCAATCAGCGTCGCGATTTTTGCAACACTGTCTGCGACCACAAGGTCATTGGCTTGTTCGATCTCCACCCATGTAAATGGAGCAAGCCATTTAGCTAGTCCCCTACCATTTAGTCTGCTTACACGCTTGATAGTAGACGGGGATTAGTCTTCTGGCTATCGATTGGAGGGTATTTTGGGCAATAAAACAAATTCTAACTAAGTTAGTGGGATTAGAACTTAGTGACCATGAAGTTACAGGACAGAGGGATTTATTGAATTTTTTTGTTTGAGTCGATCAACTATGAGCGAATACTAAATTGGATTTGTTGGTGGACTGAATTTGGATGTAAAAATTGCAGGGGGTATTACAAGTGCAGTAGTGTAAGAGGATGCCCAGCAAGGAAGCATGTGGAGAGGGCATTGGATGATCCAACGATGTTGATTGTAACCTATGAAGGGGAGCACCACCATTCTCATTCCATCACAGATCCACCGGCGGCGATGATTCTCGAGTCATCTTAGCCGTCCGATCGTCACCCGACCGACCACCATCTCTCCACGCCCAGGATCACAACAGATCAGATCTCTAAACAAATCACCACCGTCCACGATTCAGATGGAAACACTCTGCGGCCCCACTCAATAATTTGTTGCATACATACAAGGAGAGAGAGAGAGAGAGAGAGAGAGAGAGAGAGAGGAGGAGGAGGAGTATATATGTTCTCTTTCATGATTGATTATTCGCCGTTGAAAGCCTTTTGATTTTGCGTGGAATGTTTTAGAAGGAACATGAGAGAGAGAGAGAGAGAGAGAGAGAGAGAGAGAGAGAGAGAGAGAATTATGGATTTGAAATTTTAGTTGTGCAAGGATTAGGTAATTTTTTGTTGTTTGAAGAAAGTGCTAATGTTTTTATACCTTTTAATTACATATTACAATTGATGTTTATAATTTGCTACAACTTGTTTACAAAAAATTTGACATTCAATGATTTTAGAGAATGTTAATTTCATTCGGTGATTCAATTATTCAGCAGATAAGGCCAAATGTCTGTCTTTGTCAATGTTTAAATCTTAATCTTTTTCTTTCAATTATTGCCTATTAAATCAATGAGTTAAACTCGTGCGAATAAATCTATTTTTATCTCGGCAGAGATATAGACTCAAAAATTCATAATTTTAGAGATATAAATATCATCTAACTTGATCAAGATCTCTATTTTCACCTCAATTGATAAATCGATCAAAATTGATCGTAATTTCACTTGACCTTAACATAAATCTCCGATTCTCACTCCATCATAGACATGGATTAAAATTTAAGAAACAAGATCAAAAGGGAATTTTTTTTTTTAAATTTTAAAATCGATATAGTGTAAAATGATACTTTTTCTTTCTTTCAAGTTACCTTAATATATTAACTTTTTAATGTGTCACTATTTGTTTTGACATATTTGTATTTGATTATCAAGTAATATATATATATATTTTTATTGTGAATTTGGTCAATTATTGGCAGTTAAGAAATATAAAGAATCTAGTTAAATAATAAGGGATATATTTGTTGGAGAAAATGACATTTTTATTAACTAAAATTTACTGGACTGATGCACTATGCAATCCATATTCTTCTCTTTATCATTTTTTAAATTATTGGGATAGCTCTTGCAAGAAGTCTATTATATTCCTTTTCCCATTCAAAAGTTGATTCCGACCGGTCAATGAAATAATGATTAAAGAATTAATCAAGTTGTTAATAGAATAATTAGGACGACGAGGAGGACTTTGGTACTCCGTATAATTTAGTATTAATAAATAATAAATTAATAAGTCACGATTATGGGTGGAGAGGGTGGGTGAATGGGTTATGACTTTGCATTGTAGCATCTAAATTAATTTATACGACCGGCGATTTATAAGTATATACATGGAGTATTATATTATGGTAATGAATATTTTAGCCAAATAAATATTGGGGTGGCAAGAATATTGTGATCACGAGTAGATATGAGACTAGTGTGAATATCGGAGGAAATATTTATATATCTTTTGTTTTTAGTGTAATTTTATTAATAACAATGATTAGATATGATCATGAATTCGGACGTAACTCAATTTATATCCTTAACACGTATCTTCGATCAGATTTTATGTATTTTTCTTTAAATGTAGTCCATTGAATTTGCCTTTGGTCAAGTCATCTATGCTTGTCCTTTGGAAAGACTTCATTCCCAAGGCTTCAATTGGGCGATTTGCATGGCATGTTTCTAAAGATTACTCGACAACACTTGTGATTGCCTGTACGGGTAGTGCAATTGATCATTAGGTGATAAATTGTCTAATAATGGTCAATTTTGGAAAAATGAGGGTTAAATAGAGATGAGCTGGACCGTTTAAGATTCCGGTTAGAAAATCGTAAATTGCGTGAAAAGGCATCAGAATGCCAAGAGGGCTTCAAAGAGGAAATTGGAATGAGTTGATCTTGAGGTTAATTTAATTCTCACTGCCGTCTTTTGTTTGATAACAAATTCATCCTCTTGAATCACCTCTTTTAGCTCGAGTCGACTCTTCTTTCTCCAGCTCACCGCAAATTACTATATTGTTAGTTATATTACCAACAGGGCTAAGGATAAGGATATGAATCACCCTAGGATCTCGGCGGTTCAAATCTCTGTAGCTATAACGACTTGTATCTCTCGTATTAATATGTGTCAATACAAGACACAGACTCATGATCGAGTCAATACAAGGCAAACACTAATTAAAAATATTTTACAGGGTTTTCTAATCTCTAATTTCACACTATTCTGAATTGAATCCATAATCTTCGCCAAAATAGCCTTAGTGCACGATTAGTAGGATTTATGTTGGATCAGCTCCAATCAAATCAACAACGATAATTTGAGTTTTTTTTTTTTTTCTCCATATGTTACTCTCCTTTTTTCTCTTAATTTTTTAAAATGCAAATAATATGATAATATATATATATATATATATATATATATATATATATATATATCACTACTGGAAATTATAAAATTTCCGACCACCTAAAAATGATCTTAAATCAAGTCAAAAGTCTTGTTCCGACCACTTTTGATATCCGGAAAACCTTTGTTGCTATTTCCGACCACTTATTGGTATTAACTTGATTTAAGATCACTTTCAGGTGGTCGGAAATTCTATAATTTCCAGTAGTGTATATATATATATATATATATATATATATATATAATGACACAAAAGATAAAAATAGTGTCGTGTAAGAGATGTTGAGGATTTGTACTAAGATATAACTTTGGTAATCTACTCATTGACCAAACACCATAATTTGCGCTAGGCATATACAACAGAAGTCAAAGTACAAAAGTGGAGTTGATAACATGTGACCCGCACTCTTGCTAATTTTTTTTTTCTTTTTTGGTTAAAATAGTACAAGACAATTGCACATCAAAAGTTTAAGATACTAATCAAAGAACATAAAAGAGTTTTTTTTTTTTTTTTTTTTTATATATATATATGTTAGATGTCTGTAAGTTGTAAACGGATTAACCTAAAGGTGAAATTAACAAATTAAAGAACATTTCTTCCCCGGTCTCTTGTTTTATTACTTTTTGTTTAACTCATGTCATATATTTTTTGAATCACTTATGATTCTATATAAAGTAGTATTTGTTTTACTATATTTTCTCAATGAGTTAATTACACCAGAGGTCCTTTGTTTTTTGTGACAATTCTAAATTTAGTCACAGACTGTCATTTTTGTCATTTAACATCTAAGACTATTATTTTTTGTACACTTTTACTCCATCTCATGACTTTTCCTATTTTTAGTAAGGGCATTTTTGTCTCTTCATATTTTTTTTTTGTTATTTTTCATATTTAATTAGTTTATGACTTTACTAAAAACCGATTGAAAAATATAGTTACTAAAAATCAAAGGTTACCTAAAATTCTAAATCAATTAAACCGGTTGAAATCAGAAAAATATGAAAAGACAAAAATGTCCTTAATTAAAAAAAAAAAAGTCATGAGAATGACTAAAATTGTCCAAAAAATTAATTGTCTAAGATGTTAAATGACAATAATGGTTGTCTAGGACTAAATTTGGAGTTGTCACCAACGACAAGGGACCTCTGGTGGAACTAACTCCTTTCTCAATCTTTTAGAATCAATGTCCCACCAACTGAGTTCAATCATGTGACCACTCATTTAAAATAATAACAGAAGTCTCATCACACTACATATGGTAGTTCGCAACTCATGTCATATAAATAAAAGCCTAAGCTCACGCGTGCGGTGGGTTCCCAGCAACACGTGGACCGTAGTCGCTTATCGGGTGACCTTTGGTCTGACTCTGATACTAAATTGAAGCATGAGCTTCATCTCAACTAAAAACCTAAGCTGATAGTTGGATGACACATTAATGATTATATGCTCAACAATATATATATATATATATATATATATATATATATATATATATATATATATATATATATATATATATATATATATATATATATATATATATATATATATATATATATATACTTAAAGAAACAATTTTATGATTGAAATTTGAAATGGGACAAGGAGATTCAAAGCTGCAGCATACTCCTTTTCTTCAAATTTTGAAATTCAAAAATATTGTGGAACCATCTCCTATCCACCCAACATAAAATCGTAGGCCATGTGGTGTATATATGTACCAAATTAAACTACCAATTAAGGTGCCGACTTTTTCTATGGTATAAATGAAACTCTGAACCTAATTGTTTGTTTGGTTGGAATATAATGAAGGTTATAAATATTGTGGGTGGCTCACATTTGTCGAGTTTTCAAGATTGGAGTGGCTTGAGCCAAGTAGATAACTTCCACCATTGGCCTTCGTTCTCTTCCTTGTCCATTTCTAGATCGAATAGAATATTTGTGAGTGTTAATAAGGCTGGTAGTTAGTTTTTTCTTCTATTTGATAAAAATACAAAATGGATCAATAGTAAGGGGTTTAAAATTACATTAGGAGAATAGAGGTTATAAGACGATAATGTATTTATGAGTTGGTTGGGAACTTGGCAGTCAATTGATCGGTCTAATGCAGATTGAAGCTGTCTGACAAAACAAAAAGTGTGTATCTAGTAGGGCGTCGACCAATGACATGATTATGGATGACAAGTGGGGCTAATGAGCGGACTTCCATTTGTGCGCAAAGGTAATCGGTTAGCAGGTCTAAGACCTTTCCCAACATGCCTCCCCAGTGAGTGACGATGGGTTAGGTAGGTTTCTTTGGATCAACTTCTTGGACTTGTCTTACTGGGTGTCAACATGCAAATTATTGAGACAGTTGAATTATCCTATAATCTCACTAAATATAAAAGAAATCTACACATTTAGTTACTTAATTGTTACTCCGTACTATATTAGTATGACATATTTTAACGTTTTCATAAATGACATCTTTTAATTCCCAATTAGTATTTGTATTGTTGTGCTGCTTCTTTAATGTATAAGAAAATCTTATACTCGTTATCTGTAAATGTGTTCTAGTGGATCATGCCCGCCTAGATTGGCTATTACTAACCGGCTAATAGACTACTCACACAAGGAGTCGAATTCAGAACATTGTAATTATCAAGTCAAATGATCGACTAATTCGGTTGTGGTTATCTCTATTGTTGCGCCATTTCTTGCTTCTATAGAACAATGATTGAAGTGATAAAAAAATAATAATAATAAAGGGAGAGAGAGAGAAAAAATAAAAATAAAAAATTACCGGAGGTTGTTTAAAAAGACCTCAAATGTATACAATATTTTTGAGCTCTTACAAGTCAAGTACCAATTTGGCAATGATGGTGACAATGGGAGGAAAGCATGTGTAAAAAATATTAATAGTACATGCATTGACTAACAACCAATAATTGATGGACAAAAATGTAATATTCTCTAAATATAATAATAAAAGTATTGTCTTTTTTATTGTCAAAATAAATTAAGTTTGATTTTTATTTTTCAAACATACTTTCTCAACCTAATGAAGGACAAAGAATCAACAACACCTGCAATAAGACTCGATCACATAACCTCCCACATAGAAGAGATCATTATATGTCATCTAAGCATAATGTATAATATTTAATATTAATACTCCGTAATAGATAATGAAAGAAATTATAAGTGGTCCAAGGTGACATTCCAAATTTCCAATTAAACAATCAAAGATTCTATGTCTCCTCTAGACTTCTAGTATATATATTTTCTTTCAAAGGAAATGCATGGAGTTCATTAAAATTTTGTAGGTATAACAACAGGATCTGTGATTTGCAGACTTTAGGGATATGGAGAGAAAAATATGTATCAAGTCAAATAAGGGGGCTTTTGTCTTTTTCTCACTTGGGGAGATTATTATTTTTCTTTTATTTCCATTCATTGGATTATTGTCAGAATTGTTATATCATGGACCAGGGTTCATTTTGTAAGGTGAATTCTGATCTTAGACAACATATAAATTGTCTAGTTCAAAACTCTGTAATATGACACTCACATAGTCACATATAAGAATTGATTCTTAGACATTTCAATTCTATTAGCAATTTGCTTTCCAACAGCTCTAAAGTGGTAGATCTTACTCCTATTTAAATTTAATTTCATTTTTACAAACTTAATATTGATGTTAATTTATTAAAAAAAAATATTGACGTTAATTTCAATTTTTTAATATCTACAAAATACTAAAATATATAAAAGCCAATGAGAGTAGGGCTATAACAATAATAGAAAATATGTTCGTGTAATTATTTGCAATAATAGGATGTACATCTTACTTGCTTTTTTATACAATCATATAATCTTTCCACATTTGTCTGTTTTTTTTTCTCTTTTTTTCATAAAATGTTGCCAATGAGAGTGTTTTTAATAACTTATACATGCTTACTTTTTTTACACTTATAATTATTTCTAATGTTACATTATAAATTAATTATTTATATTATACTCCGTATTTAATATTTTTTTCCTCATACTAATTATAATGTAATTTTACATTTATTTTAATTATATAATTTCACTATCTTTTTTGTTGTTCATTGTATTTTTTTTTTCATTGCACATGTTTATAACTTGTAGTGAAACATAAGGTTCAAGAAACATTTGTTGGGAGCATTATGTTGTGCAACCGTGTGCACACAGTTGCAAAAACGTCGTTTTGACGTCCGACTTTAAAAAAAATTTCAGTTTCGATTACCGTTAACGGCATTATGTTGTGCATAATTTGAACTATATAGTTCATTCATTCTGGATATATAATTCAAATTATGCACAACATAACGCCGTTAACGGCAATCAAAATTGATTTTTTTTTTTTAAGTAGGGCACGTCGTTTTTAATCAAAACGACTCTGTTTTTGTAACTGATGGTGCACACGGTTGCACGGCATAATTTGCGCATTTGTTGTATGTGGATTCTCGTACTTGTCAAATAGATATGTAAAGCCCATAAATAATGTATTGCAGTTAGGCCCTCAAAATAAGATTGTAAAATATGGACAAGCCCATTGCTTTAGATTGATATTATAAGCCCAAATATAGAAGCCTGAATTTGAATCCATATTATACTTCCTGGGTTGTTATACCATGAACCAGTTGGAAGGTGGACCCTGGTCTTAAATGTCGTATAAATTCTGTATTTTTAGTATTGAAATTGTGAACCTCTAGAATATAAATTATGTTCTAAGTCAAAATACATAAGAGCAAGGAATTTTTGAATACAATACAGGGCAATATTTGAAAGGAACTTGTAAATACAAAATAAGGTAATTAATTACATATATGTTAACATTGTGTGTTCGTAGTATATAAATTGTGAATTTTTAAAAGGTAAATTGTGAACATTTGCAAGGTGGACCAGGGTCCACAGAATAATTTGCCATACTTCTAACTTATTAATGCTTATTATAGCATGTTAAATTTCTTGAATTTTTTTTATCTTTTATTTTATTTTTTAAAATATATTTTAATTGGTTTTATAGCTATGATCACTTTTTTTTTTTTAATGAAATAAATGTAGATAAATTATGTGCCCAACACACAAGAAAGGAATATATACATAAATATTAATTAGTTGCTTGTTTCTTTTTAGGAAAAGCATCTTTAAAAATTTTATTACTAGAAAAACAGTTCTAAATGTTGTATAAAGTTTGTATAAATTTAGTAGAAAATGCTTTTGAAATGCAAAAAGGCTAATTTTTAAGAGTTTCTGTATAACTAAAGTTGACTCCACTAAAACTCAACTCAAATCCATGACTTCTTATATAAAAGAGTCACTTTATTTCACCATTTATTCATTCATCATTATATTGTCCAAATAACGGTTTCATTATTTAAGTGCTGAAAATCATTACTTTTGTTTTTTTGTTTTTGTTTTTTTTTTTTTTTTTTTTGTAAAATTAGTGCAACAACGGCAGAAAGATCAGGATTAAAAGGAATAGGCCATCATAATTGAGGGATTAAAATTGATGTGCTTGAAAAACAATTCGACTACTACAACCTAAAGTTTAGGCTTCAAATTGACAAATAAGATCCAAAACGACATTAATATAAATGTAACCCTAGAGTTAACTGGACAATTGACTTAGTAAGTACAATGTTTTAAGTTTATTGTGTTCTTTGAGATTAAGAGGTTATGACACATAATATATAAAAACTAGCAACTAGCTACGCACTAGTCTTAAAAAATTAACAAGAAGCAAAACAATAATAAACAAGATAGAACGAACATAAACAAGAGAGTAAACATAAAAAATAGGACTCAAAGTTAAGGAGCAAAATCTACCAAATGCAAGTAAACATATAAGGTTGTGAAATAACAAGGATCGAATTGAAGGGATGCATGTAAGAATTCTAGTAAAAAATCACTCATGAAATGTGATCATCTAAACAAGAATTAGGACCCGAAATTGCCCCACTCACGGCATATAAATTCCAAATCCTTCAAGCACACATATCATAAAAAATCTCTAATTTTTTCATTTTTTGCATCTGAGAAGCGTTATCTATTAACTTTCTTGATTTGAGCCGATCAGTTATGAGTCGTGGCCGTAGTGCAACCATGCATGCATATATCTCAGCTCATAGTCGTGGTACTAAATTGACATTTTTAAAAATTAAGGACTGAAATTAACAAGACTCTTATAGTCGTAGGACCAAAATTGAAATTTTCTCTTAAAATTAATCTAGAAAACATTATCTATTAATTTTCTTGATTTGTACCGATTAATTCTGACTTGAGACCTAAGTACAACCATGCATGCATATACCATGCACTATTCCAATAATTGCAAGTACTCACACCAGATAACTAATATACAATACTATACACCCACCTCCATCTTCTCTCTGTTTTTATGTTTTTGGATGATATTTTTTTTACCTCTTTTCTTTGTTTCTTTCGTTTTCTTTTCCTTTTCCCCTTTCGGTACTTTCACGTGATTCTCACTGTGCCATGCACTTCACTTCCCTCTCCTTCACAGCTAAACACCTAAACCCTACTCCATTAATGCACGCCAGCCTTCCTCCCATCTCATCCCACAAAACCCCCACACCTTTCTGCAAATTCTCATTTCTAGCTTATTAAGCTTGTTCCCGTTAAAAATGGCGGCGGCCGCGGAAGTAGTAGTAGTAGTGGTGGCAATACTGCAACTCTTTGCAGTTAGTGTTTCTGTTTCTGATCATTCGCATTTGCTTATCCCTTCCGACGCTTCTGCATTGTTGGCGTTCAAGGTGAAGGCGGATTTGGACGGGAAGCTTCGGTTTTCATCGAATAACTCCGCCGCCGTGGCGTTTTGTCAGTGGAGTGGAGTTCGGTGTAGTCGAGGTAGGGTTGTTCGGGTGGTTTTTCAAGGGGTGGGTCTTTCCGGCGGATTTGCGCCGGGAACTCTCTCGGAGATTGACCGGCTCCGGGTACTGAGTCTCAGGCGGAACTCGTTAACCGGGCCAATTCCCGATCTTTCCGGTTTGGGTCGCCTGAAATTCCTGTTTCTTGACCATAATTTGTTTAGCGGCGCGATTCCGCCGTCGATTTCTGGTCTCCGCCGTCTCAAAATCCTCGATCTCTCCCATAACCGGATAGCCGGAGCCGTCCCCGTCGGCATCAACGGTCTGGATCAGTTGGAGAATCTCCGGCTGGAATCCAATCTTCTCAACGGTCCAGTCCCGCCGCTCAACCTGAGTAATCTCGACACCTTTAACATTTCGCTCAACAGACTCTCCGGTCCGGTTCCGGTGACGCCGACTTTATCCCGGTTCAACAACTCATCATTTTTCTCCAACAAAGGACTCTGCGGTAAGATAGTCGGAAAAGAATGCCATTCGGTGCAGCCCTTTTTTCCGCTGTCAATCTCCGCCGCAAAGCCGCCGCCGCCTACGGCGGCGCTCGGCCAAAACGCGGCGGCACAGCACGGCGCCGGGCTACACAGCGTCGTCCGGAAAAATCCGTCCAAAAGATCCTTCCTCATCATCGCGGTGTCAGCGATGGGGTCTTTAGCACTCGTTTCCGCAATCCTCTGTTTCGCTCTGGCCACCAGAAAGATGGGCGGCGGCAATCAAATCTCCTCCTCAGCTCCAAAACCGGCGCCGGAGTCGAGCAGCGCCGCCGCCGCCACGAGAACCGAGGAGGAGGAGGCGGAAGAGAAGGCGAAGAAAGTCCAAGAAGGAATGCGAGCGATGGGGAAGAGCGGGAACTTAGTGTTCTGCGCCGGCGAGCCTCCGGCGTACACGCTGGAGCAGCTGATGACGGCGTCGGCGGAGCTTCTTGGAAGAGGAACAATGGCGACCACGTACAAGGCGGTGCTGGATAACCGCGCGGTGGTTTGCGTGAAGAGATTGGACGCCGGAAAAGTGGCCGGCACGAATAAGGATGATTTTGAACGGCACATGGAATCGGTGGGCAAATTGAGACATCCCAATTTGGTTGCTCTAAGAGCTTATTTTCATGCCAAGGAAGAGAGGATTTTGGTGTATGATTACCACCGCAATGGCAGCCTTCATTCTCTTATCCATGGTAATCACCTTCCTAATTATCACATTTTAATTACTATAAAGAGCAAATATCAATTTTGGTCTCACAATGACGATTTTACTCAATATATTTAATTCCTATTAATTTTTAACTATTGTTTTAGTACCAATTTTTATCCAGGATTATTATTTTAGTGTCAAAATTTATAACGTCGGTCACCCCATCCATTTAAGACATGTCAAAATCTACAGATTTTAAGAAAATTTTCGTCATTCTCAACTTAAGATTCCAATTTGAGCATGAATAAATGGATTTAAGCTTTAAGATTGATCTCAATTCGCATTTCTCCTCCCCATCCTACCTTAATTTAAGGAGGAGAACTGCAAATTGAGATAAATCTTAGGACTTAAATTCCTTTATTCATGCTCAAATTGAGATCTTAATTTGTAAAGGACGAAAATACCCTTAATAATTTCATACTTCAACATGTCTTAAACGAATGAGTGACCATCGTGATGAATCTTGACACTAAAACAAATAGTCGTGGATGAAAATTGGTATTAAAAAATAGTCCTGAATGAAAATTGATAGGAATTAAACATGTGAACAAAAACTATCATTTTGTTAATACTTGTAGAACCAAAATTGATATTTGCTCTTATTATGAATATATTCATCATAGCAAAAGACCTTATAGTCCAGGAGCATGACTACTATGGCTCTCTCAAAATGGAAGGTCACAAGTTGGAATTACATTGTGTCCCTAGTGGGTATAGACATATATTATATTATAATAGAGTCAATTTTAACTCCCCATTATGACCTTAGCTGATAGAAGATCACAAAAAAATAAATCAGAAGTGTCATAACTTATCAGTTCAAATTAAAAAGACCAATAAATCACTTTGAACTTATAACTTTGTAATTAAGTCAATAGCCTAACTTCCTTCTTTCCCATTTAAAATGGTACTTTGATTATACTTGCTGCAGGTGGTACAGCGAAGCCGCTACACTGGACATCATGCCTGAAAATAGCGGAGGATGTAGCGCAAGCGCTGTCGTATATCCACCAAGCATGGCGGCTAGTCCACGGCAACCTCAAATCCTCCAACGTCCTCCTCGGATCGGACTTCGAGGCCTGTCTTTCCGACTACTGTCTCTCCGTCCTCGCCAACCCCATCTCCGACGACGACGAAGACCACGGCCCCAATTCTGCCCCCGAACTTCGCCGCTCAAACCGCCACCGCCGCCCCACCACCAAGTCCGACGTTTACTCCTTTGGGGTTCTTCTGCTAGAGCTTCTCAGCGGGAAGCAGCCGCCGGAGCACCCGTTTCTGCGGCCGGAGGAAATGGTGGAGTGGGTGAGGGCGGTCAGGGAAGACGACGGCGGTGGGCAAGACGGGGATCGGACGGAAATGATTCTTGAAGTGGGTATGGCTTGCCGGATTAGCTCGCCGGAGCAGCGGCCGGAAATGTGGCAAGTGTTGAAGATGATACAGGAGATCAAAGATGGTGTGATCATGGAAGACTGTCAAGAAATGGACCTACTTACTGGGACTTAATTGATTGTACTACTATTTTTATTTAATTTGAGTAGGTCATCAAATAGGTATGGTGCCCATTATATCCCATATAAGTTAAAATTGTACAATTATAGTGGTATAGTTTTTTACTCGTGGTGCAATTTTAACAGTAAAATTTGAATCTCAATGTAATAATCAAGATTTGATATGTAATATCTTGTTGTAATTATAATAATCATATAAAGCATCATATCACATGTAGCTAAAAGTTAAAGATGATTACAAGATTGAAAATTTGAGATAAGTTATATTTGTCTTAACTTATATAAGGATTGTTTGCGCATGTATATAAAGACAATCGTTATGCTATGAACTCGTGTCCAGCATGCATTGTGGACACAGTGACATATCGTTAGTGGTATTGTTATTTTTCATCATTTTTTTTTTAAATTTCAGGCCACTTTGTTATAGGAGCATATGTTCATAATTTTATTACTATATGTTTATAATTGTAAGTTCATAATGTCAGAGCTCTGTGTTCATAATTCCATAATTGTACATTCATAATTCAATAACTGTACATTCATAATTTTCGAAGCTCTATTTTCACAATTTTAGAGCTCTATGTTCATAATTTTATCACTATATGTTCATAATTATAAGTTCATAATGTCAAAGCTCTGTGTTCATAATTCCATAACTGTACATTCATAATTCCATAATTATACATTCATAATGCCACAAACGAATAACGCCGTTAATAGCGAGACAAAATTAATTTTTCTTTTTAACTGGAAGGCCGCGTTTTCCCTGAAAACGACGTCGTTTTGGATTCTTGTCCACAGCATAATTTGCGATATAAAGATAAAGATCAAATGAGAATATGGTCATTTCTTAAAAAGTACGGAGTAAAGACTAATCTCAACTGTCATTGGAGATCTGAACACGTGGACGACTGTGAGTAGTTCTTAGTTCTCTCTCTCTCTCTCTCCCTCTCTCTCTCTCTCTATCTCTCTCTCTCTCTCTCTCTCTCTCTCTCTCTCTCTCTATATATATATATATATATATATATATATATATATATATATATATATATATATATATATATATATAGGGAAGGGTTCAGGTGCGAGTATAGCTTCCCGTGCGGTTAGATCTGAGCTATTGATCAAATTTAGATCAACGGCTCAAATCAATAAAAATAAAAATAAAAATAAAAACGCGGGTCGGGAAGAAGATAGCGTCTACACATAGCGTCTACACAAATAAGTAGCGTCTACACAAATGATAGTGTCTGCACAACCTCACGCACATTAAGTACAAACCCCACACACATTAAGTACAGCCTCACGCACATTAAGCACAAACCCCACGCACTTTAAATATTAACTCACAGATTTTAAGTTTCAACAACTATTGACATTAAGCACAACCTCGCGCACATTAAGTACAAACCCCACACACATTAAGCACAACCTCACGCACATTAAGCACAAACCCCACGCACTTTAATATATTAACTCACATATTTTAAGTTTCAACAACTATTGACATTAAGCACAACTTCACGCACATTAAGTACAAAACCCACACACATTCAGCACAACCTCACGCACATTAAGCATAAACCCCACGCACATTAATACATTAATCACAGATCCCCTCACCTTAATTCTGACCTACATGCAAAAATTACAAAATTGTCACCGCGTTTTTTTTTTTTTAAATTTTGACAATTCTGGACGTTGATTTAAGCGAGATGAATGGTCCAAATTAAACCGCACAACCGCACCTGGGCACTTTAACTGTACCAGAACCTAATTCTATATATATATACATATATATATATATATATATGGACCAGCACTGGTAGCTGCAGAGTAATTGCAGTGTCCCAGACATTTTTTAAGTTTTGAAGAAGCTGTTGTGTCAGTACAGAGAAGAGGGAATTATTGGCACATTGTTTGGACCCAAAAAGGTATCTGTTTTGAATATCATCTTTGAAGTCTGCTACCTAAGAACATTGAATATTTCATACTCATTTATGAAAGTTACAATCCATTTAAAAGTTAGTTGGATTGCATTTACACCACAAGTCCCAACTCACCAAACATGTACTCATAACTGATGTACACAATTTTGCTGAGAAAAAAAAAACATGAGATTGAAGCCAAAAAAAACATTCATCAAAGACCTTTCTGGCATGTTGCTGTGACCTAATGAACAACTGGTCTTTCAAGACACTTGTTATTGACCAAATCTATACACAAATTACAAATCTGAATATGTACCATCCAAACCTCAAATGCAGCTCTCTCTTCTGATTATTTGGTTGGGCCTATGTAGCATCAATCAACACATTCACAATATCCTCTGCTGATTATTGTTTTAAGTTTGCTGAACTCGTTCACCCCGTCAAAAAGTTATTCCATTACACCTGAATCCACAAGTACCAGTAGTGCAAGAATGAGATGATAACATACACAACGTTATATATTTTTCGGGTCCATCAATCATCAAGATGTATATCTATTCTTGTCAAGAATTTGTCTCGGTCAGTCAGTAGTGAACTTTATAATCCCAACAAACAAGTCAGTAGTGAACTTTACCTGACCGTATTTGCAGGCACCTTATTGTGCATTTGGGGGTTGAACGGAGGTAAGAAAAGAATATACATTCTTAACGAGGCTATTGCCTTTTTCTACACACAATATCAGGTAGAGTCCGCGCATGAGGCTTTCCCCTCATGATGGTTTCGTCACTGTGTCTAATCAATTCAGAGAGTCTCCACGGTTTCTGCCATTTCCATTTGAACTGCAATAGCCACTGATGATGACTTCTCTTCCACCTCCACAACCTCCCACCCTGCCCTACCATTGTTAATTTTTTCATCGACAACTGTCCCATCGGCACCATCTTCCCTCATCAAAAGTTCAATATCAGCCATTTTAGATAAACAGGAATAGTGAATGATAGGCATCAATATATTAACCAAAAAAAAAAAAAAAAAACGAATTATGTATCATAAAAATGTAGAAGATCAACCTTCCGTGCTTGGTCTACAAACGCTGCAGACTCTTTGACTGAAGCATTTACAATCCCAGCTGTATATTTTAGTTGTTTTTGTGCTGGCACTGATACTGGAGATAAGGGAACGCTCAAGCCATCATCCGAGTGCTTGTTGGAGTTTCCCTGTCATATTTGTAACATCATAACAAGAAAGAGAGGGAAAGAAAGAATATGAAAATGCACTACCAGAAGAAAGAAAATTAATCATAACGTAAAAACATGACAAAGAAAACAAATTTGCCAAAAAAAGGTTAAAGGTATGAAATAAAACAAAAGAATGAGAAAGCGTACCAAATATTTCAGCTCCTTCTCAATTTCCTTTCTTTTGATTTCACTTTGTTGCAATACACCTATTAATTGTTTCATTTGCTCTTTCATTTCCTTGATTTCAAGTTCCTTCTCCCACATTTGGCACCTATTCACAACATGAAACAACAAGAGCTTACTTTTGACCAAACAAAAGAGTTTTTTCAGGCTACTATAAAGAGGGAAAGAGCATTTCAGTTACCTTCTAGAACCTTAAGCAGACACTAGAATATTGGACAGTATAAAATGGTCGGAAGGCTTAGCTTAGACTGCTTAGTTAATCCATTTAATAAGTTTCTATAAACACTATTTTACCACTGGATGTCTGGATATGCGCATTCTATAGGTATGCATATATACTTCTTAGACAGGCCATCATTCCTATTTCATCGGTCTCTCTCATTTTTACATTCCTTTCTTTTGGTGTATTTCCTATGAGGTGACAATAAGAGTAAGGGATTGTTATAAACTAAGATTGGGCTATAATGCACAACCGGACCATTTTGGACGTGGCTCTGATACAATGTTATTATGTTCTGATATCATGTTATTATGCTCTGATACCATATTATTATAAACTAAAATAAATTGGGCAAATTCACATGGTCCAAACCACACTAAAAGATTAAATTCAACCTATTAACTAGTCTAACCCATGACCTTATAAACCCATATATTTTCTCTTATTTTATCAATGTGGGACTCTTAATAGGGATAAAGGAAGATGCAACGGCAAGTAGGAAGATACCTTGTGTCTGCAAGAGAATTGAACATATGTTGAAGCAAATTTTTTGCATCTCCCATGGAGCGCAGCTGGTTCCAACGTCCACGGTTGCTGAAGGCTTGCTCCCGTTCTTCTGCTTCTGAAAGCTGTGAAGCCATTGAAACTAGTGAGTTTGATGAAATGCTTAGCATCTGCTCAAGAGAAGCAATTCTAGCCATTCTAGCATTGGGTGACATTGAAGATGCCCTGAAACAAATGCAAAATAAATATGTTAAGACCTTGGTAAAATAACACAAGCAATTGAGTGCTGTGTATGGAATTTCAGACAAAATCAAAATGTAAAAGTTGATAAAGCAGAAAAGAATATTGTCTTTACCTAAAAAGACCATTTTTTCCTCTTGGAGGGCTAATACCATTTGACCTAAATTCGTCGACTTGTCTCAGAACAGCTAGCTCTTCTGCCAATGCAGCTCTACTGGAAACACAAAAATCCGCTATGACTATGTAAAAATCAAACAACAATCACTACAAAAGTAATTAATATTAGAGAACATTTAAAATTGGTTCACATACACTTGACTTTGCTTCTCATACTCGTAACGAACTTCATGAACATTGACCATTACTTCAAGCTCATTATCAAGCCAACGTTGTAAGGACTTCCCATTGTTCTGAATGAAACCATAGCAGAAAAATACACTGAAGATAGAGTTTTGGGCAGAACACACCATTGCAGAAATAGAAATAATTACCAGTCCATATGCTCCATTTCCATTGCTATTCACTAGATTGAAAAAGAAAAGAAAAAAAGAAGGTTAGAAAGAAAAAGATGGACATGCATAAAGAATAGAAATTGGTGCCGAACAGAATTAAGAAAAGTACTCTAATAAATAATAGAAGTTGATTGAACATTTCACTTAAGCAACTAAATACTCTGTACTTGATAACTCATTTGTTAATGCTATAATAAGGAATCAATATTTATTCAACAAATATAGAAAAACACAAAGAGTTGTTTTTGCTCATAAGTCAAAGGAATAGCAACCTGAATTTTCTCGTGATGAAGATTTTCGTGCTTCTAGCAACTCTTTCAGCCTCTTGGTTGCCATTGCAGCCTCTTCTGTCTTTCTCTGGAGAACCTGAAATACATTTGCCTGAACATCAATTATTCTGTTCAGGAATTTTAGATAGTGTTCCTGATGGTCATTTTATGTTTAGGCCAAGATAGTCATGCTATAATCATATAATCTGCAAAGATAGAATTCTCACAAATGTGATTCAAATTCCAAGCTGTATTCTGATCACCTTAAAATGGTTTGTCAAAATTTTCAACTTTCATTTATATCAGATAATGATCTATCTTGTTCAAGGATTTTATGGGAAAGTAAATTATCTTTAACAGGACAAGAAAAGCATCATTTCTTCTGTTCACTTGAGTAGGACGAATGGATTAACGCAACTTAAAAAAGAGTCAGACATAATTTGAAAAGCTTAAAATTTTTTACAAGATCTATGATGGGAGCAAGTTGTTTTTTCTTGATTAAGGCAAAACATAGTGAACATCCCCTATTCCCCATAATTCATAGTCCATGCTCCAAATAAACTTTACTAAATATCTCAATTTTTTAAAAATTTTTTACATCAGAGAGCATACTTTAGGCAGTTAAAAAATGCATATTTCCATGACTACGTGTAGGGGACACTTGTTGCTTTTAGGTTATAAAATTTTTTACTTTTTGGTTTCCTCTGAACTTTAGTTTCTGTCTTTCTGAATTTTCTTCAGAATTCCAATCAGAAGAATAATATAAAGAGGAAGGAAATTATTACCATCTTTTGCCGCTGATTCAATGCTTGGAGTTTATGTCTCTCATGCTCATTTTTTCGCCCCTCCTTCTTTAACTGCATTTAGAAGAAAAACGTGGTTTGAAGTATACAAAGTGATAACAATCCATACAATTAAATGTAGATGTGAAAAAGAAATTACATTTTCACCAAAAAAAAAAAAAAAAGAAATTACATTGAAACACACAGCTTCTACAGAATCTTTGTCCTTTACCTCAAAAGCATGCATTGCATATATACATGCTGACAAATAATCCTTTTCTAAGGTCAGTTAATTTACATAAGCAAATCTCCTACTTATATTAAGAGTGGAAGGGAGTTAGTGTCCCTTCTTCCCATCTAGTTTACTCAGAATTGGGTTGTTGTACCTTGTGCTTTGAAGCTTGTACTTTGGTTAACAGGTGTTTGTGTATTGTGTATGTATACCTACTTGGACTCTTATAGTTTTTCTTTTTCTTTACCCTCATATCTAAATTGCTCATGGTTGTCGATTATATATATATATATATATATATATATATATATATATATATATATATATATATAGGCTTGTGTTCAAGTGAGAACCATCTCTTAGGTGAGAACCTGCGAACTACTACATGAATGCACACAATATATTTCTGGCACACAATGCAGTGATGCACACAATCTACCCTGGAGTAGATTGTAGATTGTGAGCATTCATGTTGGTTCTCACGTTCTCACCTAAGGGGTGGTTCTCATTTGATCATTAATTTATATAATTAATGTAAGCTTTAGTTTATTTATTTATGAAATGTGTCAATTTTGTAAACAATAAATACATCAATGTATATCTTTACACACAAAATACTACATATAAATAATAGTATCATTGGACAACATTTTATGCGCATTGCATGTAAAGTAGCTAGTATTTTAATAAGCCAGTAATAAACCAGCATATGGCTTTGTTTGGTAAAATAGTTAGCCTATCAGCCAATTTTGACTTATTTGGCCACTATTAGTTGTTTGACTTGGTTAAACAATCAATATGAGTGTTTGATTAATTAGTTTTTTGTAACAACTTATTGCTCCAGAATGCTAAAATTCAAAAAGTTGCTCAAAGTAGCTTTTTCAATAAGCTTTTTAAGGTCATTTTGTATATAATCAGCTCACAACTAACAGCTAATTTACCAAATACTTTTCTACAATCAGCTAATGCTATCAACTAATCAAACCCACTAACGGACTGACCCAATCAACTAATAGCTATCAGCTAACAACCATTTACCAAACATCCCCTATATCATCAGTAACACCAATGGGAATTATAACAAAATTAATAGAGGTGCAGTTTCAAGTTTCAACTTATGATAGTAATGGAAACAATAATAACTAACATATTTAAATAAAATTTAACAAAAATGCTATAGTGAAGGCAAAATAAATTATACCTGCAATAGTTCCTTCTCCCGAGACGCCTTCCATTGCCGAAATTGTTCAGCCTCTTGTTTAATCTTTTGTTGCAATTGGACCTAGGAGAGGAGATATAATGAGTGACATTACTCATTACATCAAGAAATTCTCTTTGTAAAGGAGAAACTGAATTGCAATCCTACCTTCTGTGCTTTGATTGATTGTATTTCATCCTGTAATTTTTTTGCAGCTTCATCACTCTTTTGTTTTTGCTTTACGAGATGAACCTGGCTCTCCTGTTTCTTCTTAAGATCTTGTATCTGGTGTGAATATATATACAAACTTCTTTAAGCCAAGAGAAAATGCAAAATTCAATCCATTTCACTTAGATAAATAAATAAATAAACAAAAAAAAAAAAAAAAAACGAGAATGATACTGACCTGTGCTTCAAGGGATTTGAGTTTCTGGGCATGCATATCTCGCAATTTCTGGGCATCAGAATTTGCAGCAAGGTTTTCAACCTCAGCTAACAAGCGATCTCTTTCTCGCTGCATTAATAAAACAGGTGAAGAAGGGACATCAGTTAAATGAGGCATGGATAATAATGCACACGTAAAATTTTCTAATTTCACCTGCACAGCTCTTTTCTCCTCTTCAAGTTCCAAAATTTTCTTTCCAAAATGTTGCTTAAGAGCCATTGTGTCAACGCCTCCATAAAGCTTCATCTCAGACTAGGAAATTGTCACACAGAGATACGTAAAAATTACGTCATGATGTGCATTAATTATATAGCTTCAGAAGTATGAAAAAGTAACTAAAAAGAAGAAAATTGTTAGATAATTAAGATTTTCTTCAAACTATTATCTTCACTAGTGCTAAGCATGAGAAAAACAGAATCAAATTGTGAGGCATACAAATAGAATCATATACGCATTTTATCATTACAGATAAAAAATCATTGTGTTTCTCACTGACAAATGAATTCGAATGCACTTGAAGTTACCTCTTTTTCTTCCAAACGTCTGTTTAACTCATTTAGTTCTTTGCCCATAGAATCTTGCAGAAGAGCATATTCCCATTCTTTTGCTGCTTCATCATCCATTTCTCCAGAATCACCTACCAGTAATAATAGAGAAATGGATCAATAAGTCACTAATGGAATATGGATTCATAGTTTTAAAGAAAAACAGGGAATAATTATTCCTAGTCACAGTTGTGTTAAAGAATATTCTGACAAGCAAGTAGGAAAAGAGCTAAGAAAGACAGTACCATTTTCACTCATTGGATAATCAGATGACTCTATACTTTGTAACCCCCTTTTTAGCCCTTCACTTTTTGCAGAAAAAGCACCACTTACCTGAAGATAAAGATACGAGATTTATATGTAATGGCCCTGCCAATAAATCATACTTTTAACTGGTTTCTGTACACAAAGGTCTAGAGTCTAGAGATATACTTTAGCATCTACTCCACATGGTTCAGTGCCAGCACATTTGCTACGGTACTCATGTAGTTCCCGACTTAGCTCTTCATTAGTACTTTCAAGAAGAGCAATTCTATTCTTGAGTGCCTGCATAAGTAATTTATAGTTGAGGCCAGTGGAGGCGTTATTGGCTCTTTGTGCTTCAGTAGGTTGAGAAAGTAGTTATGAACAGATACTACATTGTAATAGAGTCAGTAGCATTCAAAAAATTTATAGTTGAGGCCTCTTCACCAGTTAACCATCTCGTATAGAGACTACTTATCATTTATCAATCCTAATTTAGCAATAAGGTAAAGCAAACAAATTGCGTACCCGTATTTCATCACATGAAGCACCTCCCCCTCGGGCACAGAGTTCTGCCTGCAAGAACTCTAGTTGTTGGCGCATTTTCAGCATCTCATTGGATACTGGGTCTATGTTAATCTGATCAATAAAACACAATCAAGAAACACGTATTTTAATACTTTCATTATGGAAAGGTAGAGATTAGAAATGAATTGTCAGTTTTCACTCTTCAAAACTTACAACTGGCTTGTTCTGGATATTCCGAGCTCGATTTGCATACTTTAGAGTGTTAAGAGTTTCTTCAGCATTTATATCAGCAGGGCTAATGCACGCTGTAAAGCATGTGAATTCAGAAGTATAAGGATAAACAGCAAAGTGATCCACTAGTATTTTAGCAAGAAGCTTACAAGATTAAAAAACAAAGTGAAAAAGAATTAAATAGGTTCATTAGAAATACCTATCATGACAGTTCTACTGTTACCGCCCAGTGAATCCTGTTAATTTCAAAAAAATCTGATTAGGCAAAGCACTTGTACAAATTACGAAATTTGAAATTACACCCATAAAAATAGTTTCCCAACTTTTCTTTTTCTGATCATGTGCTTGTATAGTGAATTTTACAAATTCATCCAGAGTTAAAGATCTTTTGCAACGGAGAACAAAATATTATTGTTAAGAAGCAAAACTAAACAGAAAAGAAAAATAAGAAGGCAAAGAAATCAGAGATAAGACAATGATGGCATGTGGGATGTTCAATATGCATGAAACGGTACAATTATCTGTCTGCCAAATCCTAGGCATGTGAAATAAAATGTTGTTCGAATGTAGCCATCATATGATTTATTCGGTGAATCTATCACAATTCCAGGAATATGCATTATAACAAGCATAGAAATAAAAAATACAGATTAATACCAATAGTAATCTTTCTTGCTTTCATGAAATATGCTAGAGATTTTCTTTAGAACTGTGTCCTTAAAATATATGCATGCGTGAGTTAGGCTAAGTTTATGGTATAGGAATATGTATGAATCTCAGGAACAGCAATAACAAGAAAGTTAAATCGTAAACTACCTAACATACAATGAGAAAGGGAGAGACATAATGAATTTAATCTTATCCAGAAAAGCATGTCAAACCTGCAATAACCGAGTGAGTTTACTATCTCGATATGGAACATGGACACCCTCTTTCCGCTTTTTCTCATCCCCAAGGGCACTAATAACATTTCCTAGTGAAAGAAGCCCCTTGTTAATGTGAACTCCTGTTAACAAAATGTCAAAATCATCCCACCAACTTTGTAATTGACCAAATCATCTAGAAGGTAATAGCTGAAAAAGAAAGTTTTGACGACCTTCTTTAAAACGAAGACCATCTGATCCAGTTCTTTTTGCTCGTTCTGATCCAGCAAGATCCACCAAATGAAACTTGGCACAAAGATGTTCTTCAGTCATGCTATTATTATTTCCATCACTGGAAACCATTGGATTCACCTTGCGTATCTGCTCCATTGTTATGGTGAAGATGGCATGTGAGCGACTGAAAAAGGAAAGAATTAAAAAATAAAAATAAAAATAAAATAGAATAAGAAACTCAACACTATCAGTAACATATTTGATTATTTGATATATGTTCCTGATACAGAAAGTGAAGATCACTCTACAAACCTAAAGGAAGAGAGAAACAGGAAGCAATAGTAGAATTGGATAACACCGTACCATTTCACTCATTTGGAGTCTGTGAAGGTGAAAATAGAACTAAGTGGAAGAAATAATGAAGAAAACTAGCAACAATTAATTAATCAACCTCGACTGATTGTTCATATTAGTACTGGCTGTTGCTCTGCTCAGTGACCCTTGCTCAAGGCAATCAGCCATTTCTTTCAGATCTCTGACACTACGTTCACTGGACCCTGCCAATGTAATAACACCATTTGATGTTTCACGGATTTGTATTGACGGTTTCCCAACATGCCCATTTGCTGTTTCTGATCTGTTAAGAGAACTGGGATCCAGCAAATCTCGCACTTCTTCTTTATGTATCTGCATGCAACAAGAGTTTTACATGCCCAAGTGCTACAGTTGTAAACTACGAAGAATAATTCCAATCTGTCACACAATTGCAATGTGTTTTTGTTGAGCTCAAACATTGAATCTTAAATTATGCACACACAGACACATATAACTTCAATTCACAGAAAATAGTCAAAATACCAACAGAACTTCATGGTAAAAGATGCAACTTTTTTTTTTTCTTTTTCTATCAAGTGAAATAAGTCAAACTTATAGATAAATATGGCAATCTTACGACACAAAAAAATGGGAAATGGGTAAACCTCAATGAAGGACACATGCAGGTGGAATTCAGTCTGGTGCTTCAAGGATCCAATTTTGTTGAACAAAGCTTTCATAACTTGGGGAATAATTCCTGTTTGGCATCCGTCTTTGAAACCAGTACCCATGGTGTAAGTCTTTCCTGAACCTGTCTGTTATGTTTGAAATAATACAAAGGGGTGTTATCTGTGTCTACTCCATCAAAAACAAGTGAATTCAATATATGTGTACACTTTACCTGACCATAGGCGAGAACGGTGGCATTATATCCTTCAAACAAGGCATCAACAAGAGGGGCAACACACTCTTCATACATAGAGGATGGAGAAGAACCAGTGCTTCCATAAACATGGTCGAAAGTAAAGGAATGTGATCCAATTAAGACCTGCACCAAAACCAAAACTAGCACCAGGGTTAGAGAAGAGAAGAATAGATAGCAACAGAAAAAATCCCTTCCTTTTTCTTTGGTAACACTCTCGTTTTGTTTCTTATATAAAAATCTCCAATTAAGATGATAAGGCATATTTTTTGAAATTAAAACAATGGCAGAAAAAATCCCTTCCTTTTTCTTTGGATTCTAAGTTTTGGTCAAATCTATACTAATACAACTCAGTAGATATAGATTTGCCATTTTGGCCAGATGGCAATCTATCATCCACAAGCTTAAGCACAAAAGAAACAAGAAGCAAGAAGATGTGGAAGTATTAGGATATATCAGCCTTTCAAGGAGGCAGGATTTGAATAAGGTAGTGATAGAATTCCACATCCAACTATATGCAGGAATTCAGATCCTTACCAATTATTGAAGAAATGAATCTTAAGCAAAAAGAGTAGTGCAGATGATGGCATGACAGAAATAATCAGCATGTATGGCTCCATATTTGTATTATTATTTTCCTAACTGTGCTTTAACTTCCATTACCGGACTAACCACAGAAGAATCATACAGATCTAAATTATGTAAAGAACTCAACAGGGCAGCTAATAAAATGTGTAAAAACTGGGCTATCTCCAAACTATGTTCTTGTTTTCAATGAGAACAAAACTTAAACAAACCAATCAAGAATCATAGCATAACTTCTCTATGATATATCTGATATATTAAGCTTTTCTTGGGCCAAATCACACTTTTCATATTAATATACTCTGTATTAAATAATTCTTGTAAATTTAAATAAAATAAAATAAAAACAAACAAACAAACAAAGGATCATATCTGCAATTAAGCAATAAGGTAAATGCACCATTTAGGAATACTATTAGTCTTCAAAAAAGGAATACTATTAGAATATCATATTTATACAAAAAAAAATTAAAATCATTACATTATCCGTGGAAAATAAAAGGAAAAATGCAGAAAATATCAATCAAGCAATAAGGTAAATGCATTAGCATTAGACAATACTTCTGCTGGAAAACAAACATTAAGTAAAATGCAGAGGAAAACTCAGGTAATGTGTATGTGGCCAGATTGAAACATGGTAACTCTCAGTTAAAAAAAAAGCTAGAACCTTTGAAGATTTTAACCCCAAAACCAAATCTATATTTCCAATAAACCATGAATAGTAAAGGGAAAGATGATAAATAAATAAATAAAGCATTCCCAACAACGTCAAAACAGCATTGAATTAATTCCATCAATTCATCCTAGAATCAAAATATGTGCAGTCACAAGTGAGAGTACCTGAGGCTTCCTAGGGACCACAGTAACACAATCTTGACAACCCTGGAGCTTCTCATCTCCGATGAGTGGCCTAACATGAACTGCCACTTTCACTGGACAATCCTCCCCAGAATTAGCAGCTTCCATAGATGAGATGAGATGAACCCCAAACTCCTTGCCAGCTGAGATAATGAGCCAAAACAAAAGTAGGAAATGTGTTGTTTGGGTTGGAAAACAGTTAGCCGGAGAGGTTTATCATATCACAGAAGTGAGAAGCAAGTTTAGGGGCCAGAAAGTGATGCCACAACTACAGACACAGTAGCAATAGAGAGAGAAGGAAAGAGGGATAAATGAAAGGAAAGAAACGAGTAAACAAATGGGAGAAAGACGGTGGAAGATATAGGAAAAAGAGTAGTTGAGGCATTAGAACAAACGCCTGAAAGGCGTATTTCATAAGATTGTGTGTTGTCTACTTTTTCTGTGCATGTGTGTTTTACTGTAACTTTAAGAAGCGCGAGCAACAATGCCCACATCCGATCCACCAAAACTGTGAGGGTGGGTGGCACTGTGCCAGTTGGACCTCTCCTCTCTTTCTTGCTTTTCATCTTATACTGCAAAACAGGAAAGCCTCTCGCCCAGAGGCCCCAGATTCTACTCATGAGCAGTGTGCCTAGCTCATTTGGATTAGCCTCATGATCAAGAGATTAAACAAACTGATATCAGTAAAAAAAAAAAGAGTGAAATTATTTGTTTTGAGTCATCTTCCTAATTCAAATGGTGGATCCCATGAAACCATAATACATGTACTTGAAGGGTCAAAGGTTGGTAATGGGACCAATATGCATTGGGTTCCTTTTTGTTTCACAGAATTTAGTCAGCTCTTTTGTTTGAAGTTTGACAATTAACAATTTGACATTATATTGCTTTCTGGGACATCTACCATTTATTTATTAAGTATTTTCTTTGATAAAAACAATAAATTACGCAGTGATAGAGTTTTCTAAAATTATAAATACTAATTTACTAAGTTAGCATCTAGTCATTACTAAACTATATTTTTCTAGATACTTTATAGTATTATTCATTAGGGATGGTAATTTCAATTCTCATCCACTTCGCAAGGATCTTTGATCCCAGCTCTAACGGGGATAGGAATGGGGCCAGGGACGGAGTTAGAAATTCAGTTGAGGAGGGGGGACGAAACAGTACAGACGGATTCAGAAAATTTTTTTAAAAAAGGCGAAACATTAAAACAAAAGAGATAATTTAAAAATAAATAAATAAACTACCTAAGAAATATAATTGTAAATATTGTTGGATATGGACGAAAAATAAAACACATTGAAACTTTATAAAAATATTCATAACAAAATATGAAACATAATTAATAAAATAATTTGAATAGAAAACACATTATAAATTACACATCTTATCTTGTGTAATATTAAAAAAGAATTATAAAACTATGTTGATACTAAGATTGGAACCCTCAACCTCATTATATTACCAAAATTATGCCCTACCACCTACTCTAACTCACTTATTATTAATATTTTATAGTTTTTTTTTATATTAATACTAAAACATGTACTATATATACATATATACATACAAATACTATATATGGGGTGGGGGTGGGGGTGGGGGTGGGGTGGGGTGAGGGGGGCAGCCGCCCCCCCCCTCTCCCTCCGTCCCTGAATGGGGCCACCCCACCCGGTCGCAATACATTAATTTTTTAATTATGAAGATGGAATTACAAACTTAAGTACTAGATTAATATTTGAATTTGGTAGTTTAAATTAATAATTTAGTATTTAATTTTTTTATTTAAATATTAAAATTGTACTAAACTATTAATTTAACTATAGGGTTGATCGATTGGGAGGCTGTGATTTCTTGCCCTAAAAAATTTCTCGCAAAAACAGAGATGGATAAAATTTTATATTTTCCATGGGCCGGATGAAGTCATGAAAATGAAGACGAAGAGTGTACTCCCCTCTTCCAATCGTTATATCCTACACCACGGCGCACATAGCATTGTGCGCCGCGCGCCTCCCAAAACGACGTCGTTTTGGGGTAGTGTTGGGAGGCGCGGTAGGAAGTTGTTGAAATTATGTGTATTTGTTCACAACGTTATGTGTATTTGTTCACAACGTTATGTGTATTGGTTCATACAGTTATGTGTATTTTTTATACAATTATGTACATTCTTTTTATACAATTATGTACATCCGAATCAGAAAATTTGTGTGTATTATGTTAAGAGTTGATGTGTATTATGTTAAAAATTTGTGTTTATTATGTATTATGTTAGATTATGTGTATTATCTTTTAAAAAGAGTATGTATATTTTGTTATATAATTATGTACATTCATGTATAACATTATGTGTATTCTAGTATAACATTATGTACATTCTTGAACAGCGGGTTTTTTTTTTAAGAAAAAACTACTACCATTCACTGGGGCGGGAAATTTCAAAAAAAAAAAATAATTAAAACGACGTCGTTTTGCATCTGGGCGCATAGTGCAACGCGCGCCGTGGTGTAGGATATAAATTGCCCCCCTCTTCCGCTCTTCGTTACCATCCCTACTACATGTAATAGATCTGTGACCTATAATAATATTAAAAAAAAATAAAAAATAAACTTGTTTATTAAGTACCTTCAATATAAAAGGTAACTATGAACTATGTTGGTATGGTACCATACTGCCATTTAATAATGTTCAATCTTCGTTTACAAACATTAATAATTGATAAACATTTTAGTATCATGCATATGTTTAAGGATAAAGATAGAAAGACTAAAATATTTAATAAAAATCGTTCATTGCATGGTAATAAAGTCCTTTTTATTCATTATTTAGTGATAACCTGTAGGCTGTAACCATGGTAAAAAAATCGTTAGGTGCTCCTCAAGTGCCTAGCGCCTAGGCGGCGATTAATCAGCGCTTAAGTATTAATCAGCGCCTAGGTGCATTGTATTTATAAAAAAAAAAAATTATTTAAATTTTTAAGACTTGATAATTATAAATTATTTAATACTTTAATAGTTAATATTAAAATATTAAATATTAACATAAAAAATATATAGAGTTTGAACAATTTAGGGTTATTTCGCTATGTCGTTTCAATAAAATAACTCCTTTTTTTTTTAAAGAACAATAGCTAATTGGCCAACTAGGTAGTCTAGGCGGTGCCTAGGAGGCCTAAGCGGTGATACGCTAGGCAGCCGGCCAACGCCTAGCCCCTTAGGCGAGATTTTTGCAACACTGTTTGTAACCCTACTCTACAGTAAAACTGAAATATAGTTATATTGTCATGTCAGATGGTAAAAAGTTGTACTCTCGAGATCCACAACCACTACCCAAGGGTATGCACAGAGTAGACCCTACTCTTATGTAATAATCCGAAAACCACATAGAAGAGCTAAACCCGCATAACGAAGACCCTATGTAATAGACTTGATCGAGAGATCAAACTCGTGACATTCTAATACGAGAATCGTACTTCACCCACTAGACCACCACTTTCAGCCTATATTTAATAGCACTACACGGTAATTATGTTGTTATGGTACAACGTGAGTGTTATAAATAAGTTAAATTTACACATAAGTTATATAATCAAATCAAGACAAAACCATTTCAATCAAGAAACTTTAAAAACTCCTCAATCTAGGTTCTAATGACATGATCAGAATCTTATTATAGACCATCTTTATTATTGTTTAGTGATCCTAGGTCGTAATGATTTGGTTGATGAAGCCTAGGTGGAAGGTGGAACGGAAATTAGGATGTCATTTTGGTTACAGTATTTTTGCATCATCACTTTCTTACTTCTTATGATAGAGGGTTGAATATTTGAAGTAAAGCAATCCACCTTCCTTTAATTTGCCGACATATATCTTCATCCACAAGTGAGAAATGGGAGATGGATAGATCTATCAAAATAGTCCCTTTTATTATTATTTTTTTGTTATACAAGTCAAGATTTTGGTACCAATGCTACATACCATACATTTCTATGATTATACCTATAGTACAACTTTTTGTTCAAAATTTATTTAATACTCCGTAGAAAATATTTGTTTGCACATTTTTTTTTAAAGAAAAATAACATTTTTGGCCCCTGAATTATTTCACGTTTGAAAAGTTAATCCCTGATAATTTATTTGAACAGATTTAGTCCATTAATTATTCATTATATTTTACTTTAATTTTAATCAATGTTATATAATTATCAAATTCCGTTAGCCAACTCTTTTTTACGAGTTTAGTTTTGTGACTTTTGTCATTTAGAATCAATATTTATGGTTAAAGATACAAAACAACATCGTTTTTTGTCAAGGCGCCCTGGTGCACGATATAATTTGCCGTAGATATATGCTACACTCACCCGGGGCACATCTAGATATAATGCGAGATTGTAATATCCATATTTATTTTTTCTAAAAAAAGTGCAATTTATTGTGAGCTTTCCCTTAAATCTAAAGTGTAATTTACTGCTAAATTTTGAACAAAATGACAAAGACTTATATATTATATATTATTTTTACTGATATGAATTAATCAAACTCGCCATGACAAATTAATTAGATTAAGTCAAGCTTACGTATTTAAAAAAAAAAAACAAAAAAACAAAAGTGATGTACAATTATCATTATTCTTATTTAATTTAATGAAATGTAAACATCATTACAATTTAGAGAATCTTTAGAATGTCATGTAGTACCACATTGCCATCTCCATTAGAAAGGAACATCAAAATTGATAATTGTATGGAAAAACCAATATGACCAGCACTTTGTCTCTTAATTGGGTTGGTTCGATGCAAATAGAGATAAGTACGAGTATAGTACGGGCTTAAAAGTGTCTCCTACTTAGACATGCTCACTCATGACCGGCCTGAAAAATTATAATTGTATCAATAGCTTGCTTAAAAACATTAAAAAAAGAAAAAAGAAAATAATAATACTTTTAAATACGTACGTTTACTTTTAGTGCATAACAGTAGTAACATTCAAATCCTAAAATTTTTGATGTACAAATTAACAAAAATGTCATAATCTATCTCTCAAATAAATCCAAAATCCATGACCCCTTGGCAGGATATCAATCTTTCCCTTTCTCTAACCAAACTCTTTTCTTCTTTCCATTTTGCCAATATGTTAACCAAGTACCTAAAAGGGGGTCTCCGTTAGGGCCACACTCCATGTTCTTAAACTAATATTTGTCTTCGAAAGCTTAGCTTATAGTTTTGCCATAATTGGTAAACAAGCATGTTTTCTATTTGAGTTAATTCCACCGGAGGTTCCTTGTCTTTAGTGGCAATTTCAAATTTAATCACAGACTATCGTTTTTGTCATTTTACACCCCAGACTATCGTTTTTTGGACACTTTTAGTCCTTCTCATAATTTTTTCTATTTTTAGTAAGGGCACTTTTGTCTCTTCGTATTTTTCTTTTATTATTTTTCCGGTATCAACCAGTTTAATTGGTTTAGGACTTTACTAAAAATTGGTTGAAAAATATGGTTACTAAAAATCAGAGGTTATCTAAAGTTCTAAACCAATTAAATTGGTTGAAACCGAAAAAATAACAAAAGAAAACTATGAAGAGACAAAAATGCCCTTACTAAAAATAGAAAAAATCATGAGAAGGACTAAAAGTGTCCAAAAAAACAATAGTCTGGGATG